CCTGGCCTGCCTGCAGCAAGAATCCTGAGGCTGTTTGTCCACAATTTACCTCTACCCCCAGTGTTGACTCAGTAATTTTGCTTCCATTGATTCCCACTTTGTTCCTTGGCTATAAATCTCCACTTGTTCTTACTGTATTTGTTATTCAGCCCAGTTTTTTTTTTTTTTTTTTTTTACTGAGGTCTCTTTTCTCCTATTGCAGCCATTTGTGAATAAAATTTGTTTTTACCACTTTACTATCTTTGTTTTTGTTTTTATATAATATCAATGGTATACAACATGGAAGAACAATTACTATCACATATGCACACTGACAGATATTTCCGCTTGCAGTTGTATAAAGCCAGTGATATATAGAATATGAATTGCTGCTTTGTGTACGATAGAATGCCCTGAGAAAGGGATACTTGACAGTGTTCTGTCTTATTTATTATTGAAAACCCAGGGTATGGGAAAGAGATTGGGATCAGGATTGATGGAACATAAATGTGTGAAAAGGAAGGTAGAGCATTGCTATTCAAATAAAAGAGGGAGCCTCTGGTGGTAATTTACCTTGTTGTATTTGCAGAAAACAGATGGTGGTCAAAAATTTGCCATTTGTTTTTTAGTTTACTGTTGAAGGAAATACTGATAATTATTAATATTATTAATTGTACTTTTTGGGTATGTTTCTGCCTTTTTGATAAACCATGTAAAGAGTTGAACAAGTAGAAGTCTGGTTATAAGAAACAAGGATGCCATGTGAATTTTAAAAATAAGAGCAAGATAAAAATATTTTTTATGCCCTGGCTGGTTTTGCTCAGTGGTTAGAGCATCAGTCTGTGAACCAGAGAGTCCTGGGTTCGGTTCCCGCTAAGGGCACGTACCTCAGATGAAGTTTGTCCATGGCCCTGGTTAGGGTCATGTGGGTAGCAACCACTCATTGTGTGTCTCTCACATAAATGTTTCTCTCTCTCTCTCTCTCTTCCTCCCACTCTCCCTCCTGCTGTATTTGAAGATTAAAAATATATATATATTTCTTCATGATGCTGATAATTTAATAAGAACAGTTTAAGTAACTTCCTTGACTGACATGTCACAGCAGTATATTTATTTAACATGTTCAATTACTTGAACCTTTATTTAGGTTCAAAATATTCCATTTTTTAAAATGTACAGATGAGAAATTAGGATTTGTTTTAAGAAAACTGAACTGTGGTATAAATAGTTTAAACTCTGATGTTTTCCAATACATTTATTTAACTTTGCAGAAAGAAATACATGGTTTATTGTCACATATGTTTAGAAGTCATTACTCCTAAAGCAATAATACATACATTATGCTTCATGAAAAAAATGAAGAAATACTTTTCAGAACAAAATGCAACCAGAAGCTTTGGCCAGGTAACGTAGCTCAGTGGGTAAGCGTGTCCCTCTGATAGGCCAAGGTCGCAGGTTCAATCCCTGGTCAGGGTGATATCATTGTAATTAGCTTGTTATTAATAATAGGAAAAGAGTAAAAGGGAGGCCAGACTTTATAAGCATGGCCATCTGGGCAGCTTCACCAGGAAGCTGTAATTTCATACTCCCCAGGGAAACACTGGTCCTATCCCTGGAGATCACTAGGGGAAGGGGAAAATTTATGTATTCACAGTAAAGTCAGGTTTATATAGGGAAGGTGTCTGTCAGTCTAACCGGGAACAGAAATCATTGGCCAGAGGGGGTGGGGCATCTGCAAGCCTGTGAAAACTTGGAAGTACATAATACCCCAGGCAAAGGAGCTCTCTCTCTTGGCTCTCTTGTTTCTCTGGCCTGATCCTACCCATGTTCTCTCCATAGCCATCTGGCCCTGTGGACCCCACATGCAGTGGACTGATGGACTAGAGCTGGGAACACAAACTAAGCTAGCCTGATGCTAGATTAGACTGTGCAGACATGTAATGGAAACGCTGGGCAACGGCTTTAATCCTAGCTCTGCTGAAAGCAAAATGGTAATTTTTCCTTGTCAGGACAGAGGGAAATGGGACCTTGGAAACTAAAGAGTTTGATTCCACAGAAATAAAGCTTTCTACAATACCTCATTCTCTCATGCAAGTCTCAGAAAATTATTTTTTTCATGACATTGCAGGAAGCCCACTTCTATCCACAACAGATTGGAACACAGAGAGCTCACCACTGATAACAAGAGCTCATACAAGAATCACCCAATGAATACGTAAATAATGGGAACAACAAATCGATGTTTCTGTCTCTTTCCCCCCTTCCTTTTTCTCTCTAAAATACATACATGAATAAATAAATAAATAAATAAATAAATAAATAAATAAATAAATAAAATAAATGAAACTAGAGGATGGATTAGGAATTCTCAACTTTTTTACCCAAGTTGAAACAATTAACCTTTCGCTTTCATTTGTGATATGTGTATCAATTTAATGCCCGATGGAGTTTTGAAACTCATCATCAGTGAGAGGTCTTTAAATTTCTAGGATCAAACAGTCCAAATATCCAGAATTTATATATTTATTTATTAAAACATTTTTAATGTTGACATTATTACAGGAGTCCACCTGCCCTCACCACCTTTGCTCACCTCTACCCTCCCCCACCTACCCTTCCTTGGCCTTTACCAAATTATTGTCTGTGTTCATGGGGTATGCATATATGTTCTTTAGTTTAAATTTCTAGATAAAAATTGTTCAAATATTTAGAAATTTTTGACAAAGCCACCAAATATTTGTTGTCATCCAACAATCTGTAATTGGATACAGGACTTTCTAATTTGGTAAATGTAGTAAGAATGGAAACTGATTGGATGTGAAATTCAAGATTCTCTGGCTCAAAGTCTTTATCATTGGGCCAGTCATTGGCAGCTGGTAAGAGCACAAAAAAAATCCACTCTCTATAAGGAAGCAAAAACACCCAATCAGAACAGCAAAAAGAAAAAAGAATTAAAAAAAAAAAAAAAAGAGAGAGAGAGAGAGAGAATAGTGTAAGGAGCCTCTGGAACAATTTCAAGTGTATCAACATTCACATAATAGGAGTGCTGGAGGAAGAAGAAAGAAAACAAGAAATTGAAAACCTATTTGGAAAATGACAGAAAACTTCCCCAATTTGGTGAAGAAAACATACATACAAGTCCAGGAAGCACAGAGAGTCACAAACAAGATGAATTCAAAGAGGCCAACACCAAGACACATCATAATTAAAATGAAGAAGGTTAAAGACAAACAGAAAATCTTAAAAGCAACAAGACAAAAGCAGTTAGTTACCTACAAGGGAGCATCTATAAGACTGTCAGCTGATTTCTCAGAAGAAACTTTGCAGACCAGAAAGGAGTGGCAAGAAATATTCAAAGTGATGAAAAGCAGGGAACTACAACCAAGATTACTCTACACTGCAAAGCTATCATTTAGAATTGATGGACATATAAAGAGTTTCCCAGAGAAGAAAAAGCGAAAGGAGTTCATCACGACCAAACCAATATTATATGAAATGTTGAAGAGTCTTCTTGAAGAAGATAAAAAAATATAAACAATAAAAGAGCAATAAATGCATATCTATAAACAATTGAATCTACAAACCAAATGAACAAGCAGAACAGAAACAGGCTCATAGATACGGAGAACATTTTGTTGGTTGTTAAACTGATGAACCTCAGAGAGAAGGGGGTGTGTTGGGAAGAGATTAAGAAAATAACTTATATGTATATATGCATAACCAATGGACACAGACAATAGTGTGGGGAAGGCAGAAGAGGGGCAGTTTTGGGGAGGAGGGGTGAATGGGGGGAATGAGGGGGACATCTGTAATACTTTCAATAATGAAGATTTTAAAAATTCAATCTTTTTCACTGATAGAAAATGATGATGATGATAATAATAAATAATAAAAAATATATTGATACTTGATTGAAAAATACATTTTCTTTAGATACTGGGGCCCAAAGATAATTACAGTGACTTGTAACCTATCACCTCTAATTACCCAGACACCTCAAAATTTCATGCTCATCTGAGAGTGTCTTAGTGAATTAATAGTATTATCTTCTCCATTGAAAGATTTGCATAGATCATAAATACTTTAAAAATTGGAGTTCATAAATCAGTTTTTCTAGAGATATATTAAAAAGCTTTTTAAACATAGCTTTTTAATATATTTTAAAATATTAAAAATATGTCAGGTTATAGAATGTAATGTTTGGTTTGTTTTAATTATACTACCTTGCTGGCTGTTGTGTGTGTGACAGCTACTTCTCTTTTAAATGTAACAGTGCATTCTAGAGTGAAAAGTTAATATAATTTGTTAATAAATGAGTAGTTTCACATATTCAAATATTATTAATCCATTTTATTCTGAAGGACAGTCTGTTAGTTAGAAGTAGCAGAGCCGAACCTAAATGTTTTTGTTCTGAGTAAATATTCTTTTCAATAATGTCTTTTAGGTGACTGTGACAAAATAGAAATAAGCTCATTCACTGTGAAAATTTATTTTGTCTTGGTATTTGTACATCTTTTTTTTTTTCCTTGTGAAACTGGTGCTACATAATTTTAATTTGAAATTGATATTTTAGCCTGGCCTGTGTGGCTCAGTGGTTGAGCATCGACCCATGAATCAGGAGGTCACTGATTCAATTCCCAGTCAGGGTACATGCCAAGGTTGTGGGCCCGATCCTATTGATGTTTCTATCTCTCCCTCTTCTTTCCTCTGTCTAAAAATCAATAAAGAAAAAAATAAAAAAAGAAAAGAAATTGATATTTTAATGATATTAATAAACATTGAATTTTTTGTTGACCAATATAACATGCCTACATTTATTTAAAGCTTATTATATATGTGATACTGCATTTGTATTTAGGAATACACAATATGCAGAGAAGAAGCCACACCTCTGATGCTTACATATTTACTTCCACTTGTCTAATGTATCAGAGTGTGACTCATTGGCTTTTGTATCAAAATTGTCTTTATTAAATTAATTAAGAATATTACTATTAATATATATTGCTTTCTTGTTACAGAAGAAAATACTCAGGAAACATCACAGATGAAGAAAAATTTGAATGAAAAAGTTTCTCTCTATAGAGGTGACATCACATTGCTAGAGGTAGATGCTATAGTCAATGCGGGTAAGTAATTGATCTTTTTGTGATGTTATATTTCTTATTTAAAAATCTTTTTTCATAAAGAGGAATATGAGTATTTTAGAAAAATATATCATTCCTGGTATAGAAATGTCATGCATTTCCCTTCCTGATTAAAAACATTGAGGATTTATTTTTGTGTATCTGCCACAGTTAATGTGCTAACTCTGTATCATATCTATGCCAAGTTGAGACTAAGATACTTGACCATTGGAGAAGTGACAGATTGTGCAAAAAGTTTTTTGGAAAGAAATTTAGCAGCAATATTGCTGCTGGTTTATGCTTGAGGTAACAATTGACCAACATAAAAACAAGTTCAGCAAACTCTTTTCTTTAGAATAGGTCATAAAGAGATGATTGAATTACACCCAAGAGATGTAAAATGTAAAGAAATTTTTTTCTGTGATTTTTGCAGCCTCACTTGTTTTGTTTCAACTTTTTATGTTAGTTATGAAATGCTTTACTTATTAAGTATCTAAGTCATTTTCATGTTTGAACATGGAAAAATAACAGTGTTAGTTATGATGGTCTTGATCTCCTATATATTTTACTATGTAGCTGTATTTGAAGAAATATTTAATAGTTGTGATTCTTTAAAATGAATATTGGCTTTATTTAAAAAGATTGTTTCAATAAGGGGAAGAGGACTATCACAATAAGAGAAGGAAGAATGTTGCAATAGGAAGAACCACTTCAACTATGAGCTCTATAAGCATTTCAAAGGTCAAGCAAAATAGGGCTTTTCTTTTACAGAGAAGAGAAAAAAGGCTAGACAGAATTAGGTGTGGGGCATTTGGATGATTGGACGGCATGGTCAGACAGTTGATCAGGGAATGTTTTTTCCTGAGGTCAATTGATTCTTGATAGGGGTCATTAAGGAGGGATTGTTCATAGTCCATTCTCAAAGATGGGTCAAAGCTCAGAAGCTTGGAAGAAGGAGGGAAACCTGACTAAAACTTGATCAAGTCCAGGCATTTACCAACCAGAATGGTTGATGGGGACAAATAGTTCAGTTAATCATTTATGAGTCAAAGAATGGGAATTTGTAGGTCTGTGCTTTGGCTTTGTCATAATTTACAAGGAAGGGGTTGTCTGTGAGTTTTATCTAAGTCATATGGGGAAGAATGGTGGGGGCTAATTTCTTGAATATTTCTGTTTTCCAGGGGTACAGGATTCAGGTAAAGTTCACGTTCGTCTTAAAGTTCTCCCTGGTGATGATTAAATTTACACAGGATAGTAAGAACATGCATTGGTAGGTAAACAGAAGGGTATCACGAAGAACTGGAATATTGTTCATGATAAAGCATAGTTCTGGCAACTTAGCAGGAAGTCTGAAAGTCTAGTCAGGTTTTTCTTCCCTCGGAATTGGTTATCAGTTGCTTTATACTGTATCTGCTTTGTCATGATCAGAGTTCAGTTTTTTGCTTCTCTTCTGATACCTCTGTACTTCCTTTTTCCTCTGCTACCTCTCTAAAATGTAAAACTGTTTAAGAGAGAGGATCTTTCTGGTGATTAATGAATCACTTCTTTTGGATAGAATTTCAGCTTCAGATTAACTCAACTAACAGGCTACAGGTCTCCCTTATATCTATATCTAGTCTCTACAGACTGTTCATTTGTTGCCTAGGTATCTAGATGCTTTTCTCTGATGTGTGGGGCTCTGGAAGAGGCAGGTCCTTGGAAAGTGTCATAAACTTCTCTCCAGTACAGAGGTTTAACCAGATATCACTGTAGTTATTAAGTTATCAATGATTTATTATGCCATTAATTCTGTAAACATGTGAAGTTTAATTTTTAAAAATTATTCATTTATTTATTTATTTTTATATTTTTAAAAAATTTATTGATTAATAAGATTATATAGATTTTGCCTTGGCCAGATGGTTCAACTGGTTGGAGCATTATCCCATACACCAAAAAGGTTGCAGGTTCGATTCCTGGTCAGAATACATACCTAGGTTGTGGGTTTGATCCCCAGTGAGGATGCATGTGAGAAGTGATGGATTGATGCTTCTCTCTAACATCGATGTTTTTCTCTCTCTCCCTTCTTCTCTCTCTAAAAATTAATAAACATATCCTCGAGGGAGGATTTATAAAAAAGATATTCTATGGTTTCATGTGTATATTTCTGTTATGTCATCTGTATATTGCATTGTGTATTTACCACCCAAAGTCAAAATCTTCTGTTACCATATATTTGATTCCCTTTTACCCTTTAGTACTCACCCCCTTTTCTGTGGTAACCACCATGCAGTTGTCTGTGTCTATGAGTTTTGCTTGTTCTTATTTGTTCATTTGTTGCTTTCAGTTTTATATTCCACATGAGTGAAATTATATGGTTCTTGACTTTTTCTGTCTGACTTATTTCTTTTTCCCCCTTTTTATTGAATTTATTAGGGTGACCACCAATTATCAAAATTATACGTTTCAGATACACCATTTACAACACATCATCTGAATACTGTATTGTGTGTACATCACCATTTTTTGTCTGACTTATCTCATTTAGTATGATATTCTCAAGATCGTTAAAAGCTCTTACGTGTGTGTGTGTGTGTGTGTGTGTGTGTGTGTGTAACCAACTTTTGTATAGTCTTGTAATTTTTAGCTATTGATCCTAATTTTTTCCTGTGGAACACAACTGATGACACTTATTTTCTTTTTAAATACCACTTTCATGAGTTGTTTCTTTCTTATTATTAGGATAATATTGAATTGCCATGTTAGCACACTTAATAATAGTAGTAATTACAGTTTTTCTTGGGTTTGTTATACATATATCTGTTTATCTCCCTCTTGAGGCTATAAGCTAGTGTCTTTCATTTTTGTTACCTCCTACAGCAATGTCCTGCCCTTATGTTCTTAATAAACACTTGATACTGTATATTTGTTAAAATGAACTACATACGATTGAATTTGTAGTACCTCTGAATTTGTAGATTTAATTTGTTTGTAGTACATTCAGCATTGGGGACTTGATACAATGAACTATATTGGCTCTGATTTTTAAAATTTGATCTATAAATAAAAATAAAAAAATACTTTTTAGTGATATTTTTATCAAAATAAAATAAAATGATGTGGAATAGGAAAACATTACTAATATCAAAACATTTCATTACTATTTTGATTCTTTGTCATTGCCCGTATGTATAATTTTTTCCTAGTTGCCATATAGTGTACAAGGGTTTGATAAATCAATATGAAGGCAGGAAGCAACTTTCACTTACTCTCAAAAACCATTTGGCACCTTTAGCTCACTTCTCTGGCTGAGATGATTACAATTTGGCCATGTTCTATATCTCACAAGGAAACCTCATTAGGAAGTTCCCGGGTAGATGAAAAAGAGATTTTAAATGTAAAGTATAATGACTATTTATAGTTTTCTGCTGTGCAGTTTGGTTGCCTGGTGTGTAAGGAGAGGAACAGCTGTTAACCTTTCCAGTGAACAAGACAACACGGCAGGAAACTTTGGGGCTGCCTCAAGTGAGAAGGGAAGAGAGGCAGTGCTATAGTCAAGGTGCCAAAGCAGCCCAGGCATCACCTTCTATCAGACTTATAAAGTTTTCTTTCTATGTCCATATTAGTACACTGGAATGCTTGGGCTTAGTTGGTATGAATGAAATGATTCAATGTCTTAATTTTTTCTTAATAAAATGTGCTTTGCATTTTCTTAGATTTTTAAAAAAATGTGATCCAGATGAGCCTTCTATATATTATACTCTTCTCTGTAGAAAATAATGAATATTTGGTGTATTTTAATAAAACATTTTGTAGGCAGTAGGGTACACAGGGCAAGTAGCACAAGTTTTAGAGTCAGACAGACCCTGGTTTGAATTCAGGTTCTCATACCAATGGCCAATTTTTGTTTTAAACTTTTATGTTGAAATAATTATAGAAAGTTGCAAAATTAGTACAGAGGATCCTTTCTACCCTTTACCTTCACCTGTGTAAGCCTTCCCCAATGTTGATATGATATAGCTATAATACAATATCAAACCTAGGAAATTGACATTGACATATGTGTATTAATATTAAGTAGACTATAGACCTTATTTAGTTTTCACCAGTGTTAATTTGCATTTGTGTGTATCGTTTTATTCCATATATAGATTCATGTAACTACTACCACCAAAAAGACACAGAATTGCTCCATTATAAAAGAACTTTCTCATGCTGTCACCCACCTCTCTACCCTCCTCCTGTTCTTTATCTCTATAGTTTGTCACTTTGAACATTTTATATAAATGGAATCATACAGCATGTAAACTTTGAGATTGATTTTTTACTAGTCATAAAGCTCTTGAGGCCCATTCAGATTGTGACATGTATCAGCAGTTCATTCCTTTCTATTCTGAGTAGCAGTCCATTGCAGGGGTATACCAAAGTTTGTTCAGCCATTCATACATTGAAGGACATTTGGGTCTCTTCAGTATTTTGCTATCTAATAATGTTGCTATAAAGATTCGTGTACAGACAGGTTTTTATATGTAGTACCAGATAGGATGATCTGTTTACTATGATTAGGTTCTTGTATTATTTTGTATAAAGCCTATTGATAAAATAATTTTGTTTTTTGCTAAAACTTGGGAGAAAATACATCAATATAATTTATAATTCAGTATTATATTCTTAGAGACACTTTCACTTGTATAACAATCACAAAAAAATATTTTGTAGGAGATATAATTTTTATTCATTTGTGAATTATGGGTGGTGTAATGAAAAAGCAGTTAACTTTCCAAATCTAATGGGTGGGCTTTGGCTAAAGATTAATTCAATTTGCCATGAAAAGGATTTTAAAGTGGCCAGGCTGATGTGACTTAGTGGATTGACCATCCTCCCATGGACTGAGAGGTCCCAGTTCAATTCCCAGTCAGGGCACATGCCTGGGTTGCAGGCTCAATCCCCAGTAGGGGGCATGCAGGAGGAAGCCCATAGATGTTTCGCTCTCACAACAATGTTTCTCTCTCTTTCTTTCTGTC